CAGCCGCTGCTGGTTGGACCTGGCTGCCTTTTGCTTTAGTACACGTTACCGACGTCCGACGCTTGTTTTTGATTGCCATCCACGAATTCTTGTTGAATTATTGCCGCTTTTTTCTGTCATAGAAATTTCTTTTTCTCACAGATTTAAAAGAGAATAAAAGCCAAGTCAAAGGAAGGAAGGAAGGAAGCAATGCAATACATTAATCAAGCGGGTGGATTACAAATGAATGGTATTTTTTTTGACATTGGTAGCAACAGCACATTGTTGGAAGGAAAATCAGCGAATTTTTGAATTATGCGGGAGTGCTTAAAAATTGAAGTGTTTATTTAAATTTATTAAAAACAAATTTAAGAGGGAAATGGTGAAAAAGCTTTTAAATTCCAAAATTTTCTAAATACATATTTACCATGTAACATACCTAAAAGTATACTACTTGCGTTGTAGGTGATTATAAAGCTTACTTTAGCCATCCAATCAAATCGCTAAGAACGAAAACTATAACTATAAAGGAATCGATACCAATAGAAAAATTTTTAACTAAAAAAAGAAAATTTTTAACTAAAGAAAGTTGATAACGATAGCAAAATAATAGAGATAAAAAATTCAATATCGACAACCAGATCTGGGCGATAACAAAATCGATAGCATAAATAAAATATAAAATAAAAGTAAAATCGATAACAAAAATAAATCGACAATACAGTTAAACTTCATAATGAAACTAAAATCTATAACAAAAGTAAAATTAATGAGCAAGGTAAAATAGATAACAAATGTAAAATCGATAGCAAAAATAAAATCGATAACAAAAATAAAATCGATAACAAAAGTAAAATGGATAGCAAACATAAAATCGACAACACAAGTAGAACTGATAACAAAAGTAAAATCGAAAACTAAAGTAAAATCGATAACTAAAGTAAAATGGATAGCTAACGTAATATCGATAACTAACGTAAAATCGATTCGATAACTAAAGTAAAATCGATAACTTAAGTAAATTCAATAACTAAAGTAAAATCGATGACTAAATTAAAATCGATAGCTAAAGTAAAATCGATAGCTAAAGTAAAATCGATAACTAAAGTAAAATCGATAACTAAAGTAAAATCGATAACTTAAGTAAAATCGATAACTTAAGTAAAATCGATAACTAAAGTAAAATCGATAACTAAAGTACCTAAATTCGATAACTAAAGTAAAATCGATAACTAAAGTAAACTCCATAACTAAAGTATAATCAATAGCAAAAGCAAAATTTATAACAAAAGTTAAATTTATAACAAAAGTAAAATCGATAGCGGCAACTCCTACAATCTTTGTAAGGTAACAAAATCTATAAGGAGTTGCAAAAACTAAACATAACTTATAACAATAATGTAAATAACGTGAACGACAAAAAAAAATCGAATGCTCTCAAATCTGAAAAAAAAATCTTTATATTTTGGTAATTGCATACTTCGTATTTCAGGTGCAAAATTTTGAAAATTCAGTAACTCTCAGTGACAAAAAAGTTAAGGCAATTTACAGAAATCCCGCTGCAATTAAAGTGATAACATTTTTGGTTTGGCAATTTTATTAAATTTTTTATTAAACTTTTGGTCCTGCACGAAAATTCATTGACAGTTGTTGCCTTTTTGTTAAGCTGCAAACTTTTCGTTCAACTTTAAATTGCCAATTAAACGTCGGTAAAAATAAAGCCCCAATCACTCATCTCGATGAATACCAAAAATATTACCCTCTATATACCAAAATTAAAAACCAAATATTAAATAAAAACTTTTGTGTTAAGTCTAAAGCAAGCTTGTATGAAGCTTTAGAAAAAATTCATCCACACATGAATACTAATTAACTCATTAATATAAATTCTGGGACAATGTTAGCGTTTAGATTGTATGAATATTTAAGTATTTACACAGCAAATACTACATATCACCAGTCCAGTACATACATATGTACATATGTACATACTATGTAGATACATATGTGTATGAAATATGCACCAGGGCAAACAAAACAAATCTCTGTTAGCTAATTCAGTTGAAATGGCCCCAATAACAACAGCATAAGTTAGTCTGGGCCACTCAGAACTTCGGTCAAGCTTTTCTGCATAACCGCGGTGTTAAGATATTTACTAAAAAAAGGCGAACGTTTCTACTCTAGCTCAAAATACGTAAAGGTTGGCACAGAATTTGTATTATCTCTTACTAAATTTGAGAATTGAACAAACTGCTGAGTAGGCGAAAGAAAATATATGTAGCAAATAAATAACAATCATCGCTGACGTACTCAATGTTGCATAATTTTAGGTGCTATGATTGCTAATCTACTGCCAGAATTCCACTCGAAGAATTTTCCATCGCCTAGAGATGGCGGTAATCATTATAAAAAAAAATAATAATAATAATAAAAAAGATAATTAAAAAAATAATAATAATAAAAAAGATAATTAAAAAAATAATAAAAAATTAAACAATAAATAAGACAAGAATATTAAAACAAAAAAGCTAACAGGTTAAAAACTTTAACCATTAAACAAAATTAAAAAATATATAAATTACAACATACTTACTTACAAAAAGCTAACAGTTTAAAAACTTTCAACAATTAAACACAATTAAAAAAATATAGAAATGACAAAATACGTAAAAAACAAATAAATCAAAAATAATAAATAAAAATTGAATTGAAAAGTTAAAAGTAAAAAAATTTTAATAAAAATATCAATTCAAAAAAATTTTATTTTAAAAAATTATTTTTAATTAAATTTGAAAAAATCCATTTTAAAAATCCAAATCTTTAAAAATGTATTAAAAAATTAAATTTTTTGCAAATGCTAGTTTTTTAACATTTAATAAAATAATGTAATAATCAGATATAGTGTTTTAGATATAAAAATTATTTAAATTTTTTTATCTTAAAATTACTTTTTTTTTGTCTTTTTAAAGCCAATTAACAAATTTGTAATCTTGTTAAAAGATTTTTTTACATAAACTTTTTTCTTAAAAATGCAACATAATAATTTAAAGAATCGTAACGTTTCTTCTGATATAAATAGTAAACTACTCGTCAATCTAACAAAAAAAAAACATTTAGTTCTCTCAAAAATTAGCAAGGGAAAATATTACAAATTCTCTAATTTCAAGTTTTAAAACATATTTAAGACTCTTAAAACACATTAACGTTAAAAAAATAAAAAATAAAAAAGATTAATCAACTTTTCTTCATATTTTTGGGTTTTTTGATTTCTAGATTGCCACAAAGAAACACCAATAAAAATAAAAAAAAATAAAAAATGTATACTATGGTTTTGGTTTTTGTTTCTTCTTAAAACATTAAAAGCGTAGTAGTTTACAACTTTCAAACTTGTAGAATTTTTTTAATAAAAAAATTTATTTTTTAGTAAAAAATTTAAATAATTAAAAAAAAATGTTTTATTTACTTTTTAGTATGTACTTATGGACATACATTTTGTTAAAAAAAAATACATTGTTTACCTTTATGAAAATTAAAGAAACCTTTCAAATTCAAAAAAAATTACTTTTCAATTAATACTACTTACTTTTCAGGTCCATGGTGTTTATTTTTTTATTCATATTTTTTCATCCCAACATATTTTAATTTTTTAATTAATTTTTTATTGATAGTATTTAGTATTTACTTTTTAACCGACTTCCAAAAAAGGAGGAGGTTATCAGTTCGTCGGAATATTTTTTTTTTTTTTTTTTTTTTTTNCCATACTAATTTGGTTTAGATCCGATCGTTGGATCATGAAATATATAGATATATATATTTCTTTTTAAGTCGGTTTTTTTTGCTAAAAATTACTTGTTACGTTATATGTACATATCTAGTTTTCATTTTTTTAATTTTAATCGTTTTCCATTAATTTCAACTAATTTTTTTCATCCCAGAAAATTTTACGTTTTCATTTGTTATATCATTTTTCAATTAAAAGTACATACTTTTTATGATTCATTTTTTAATTATTTTGATAGATAGATTATGAAAAAAATTCTGTCCCAGCCCAAGAAACAATAAATTTTATTAACAATGCAAAAATAAATTTTCCTTTTATTTCCAATGACTTTTTTAATACATATTCGTTTATGTATTATTGTGCCTACTTTTGACATAAAAGCTACATTTCGCAGAATCTACACTCAACTTTAAACTTTATTTGTTAGTATTACTAAGTAATGTTATTCGAACAAACGTCTGTGTCTAAAATAAATAATTTCTCTTATATTTATTGAACCACTCAATCAGAAAATCTATTAGAATTAAAAAAGCATTAAAAACGCGACTCGACATAAACTTAAAATCTTGAACATGGATAATGAGAAATTCTTTAGTTTAGAGAAATGCAGACTTCAAGTGAAAACTTAAAAGGTAGTGACTAAATAAGTGCAGACATTTAAATTATTTTAAAAAGAATTATAATATCATTTCTTCCAACTGCGCTGTAGAGACACTAAAATGACGCACAAAAAATGACGAGGAGCGTAAACTTAAGGCCGTGTTATGCATACTTGGCATTGCTTGAGAGTTGTCACATAAGGAATCTGTTAAATGAGCTTCGCGTGTAAGCGGTTACCCAACGCACAGCATTACATACGTAAAAGTCTGTTGGTTTTTGATTTCTACGTAAAAATGGTATAGCAGTGCATGCAATGCCAAGTATGCATAACAGAGCCTTTAATTTTGAGGCGTAGATATTCCATTTATCAGGTAATTTTCCCAAGATATTTTCATTTTAAGTTTACATTGCGAATGAAAAAATTCAAATTTTAATATGAAAAATGTTACTCATACGCCATATCGTACATACTCGTATGGGTAACATTATTTCCTTATTTGACGATTCAAAAGTGGTTTATTTATCCACCGATTTTCATCATTAGTTGCTTGATTTTTTGGCAACAGAAAAAGTTTTAATACAAATAAAAAAAATTACAAAAAAGTGTTATTTTTTAATTTTTTCCCGGTTAAAGTTTGAATTTTATTTATCAAAAGATCCATAATCTACGACCAAAAATTAAGTTTACGTGCCTCGGCGTTTTTTTTTGTGTCATTTCAAAACTTCAGATTTTCCCTACAGCGCTATTAGGTCTTCAAAAAATGCTGCTAAAACATGTCATAGTATGTTAAAGGAGCTTATTAAAAAAAAAAGAAAAAAACTAAATTGAAACAATTTAATTTTCAGAAAAAATTAAGAAATTTTCAGAAAAAATAACTTAACATAATTGTTGTTTGTATTGCTGAGCATTATAAGTTTCAATGGCCACGGCTAGTTTGCACAAATTCCATTTGTTCCACACATTCAAAAGCATGCTGTTATTTCAGCGCATAAAGTTTGCACCTTTGTTCGTCACTTGCTCCGCGCTTGCCTCCTTATCGCTTTGTCATCGACCGACGCCTCTCCTTTCCTTCCACGCAACGTGCCATCGCCTAAGCTTTGACACGCTGACGAGCATATTCGAGCGCCGCTGCTAGTATGCGCTTCTCCAACACGCGATATTCCAGCACCATTGCCTCCACGTAGCAGAAATACAACTCGCCTTTCTTGTATGCAGCCAGCTGCTCCTCGTCCGCCTCCAGCGTGGTGGGAAAGACGCGCAGCAGCAGCATTAGACGTGTCTGCAAGTACTGCCATGTCTTCGATTCGAGCGTTGTCTCGAGCGCGCAGTCGATATGCAACAGATCCATGGCACGTTCGGAGGTAATCCAGTGTTCCAACTGCTGTGCGTTCATGTTGAAAACGCGCACGAATGCCAGCAACTCAGGTGATATGTAGGTGGGCGGAGGCAATACCTTCAAGTCGGTATTCTTTGTTATCTGCATTAGGAGAAGTAGTTTGGCGCGTTGCTCGAAGAGCGGATCCGAATTGCCCAGACCGAGTTTGATGCAAATATAATCCTTCGGATTGGTGGGGTTGATAAAGCTGTGTGTTGGTGTGTGTGGCGGAGAGAGGGAGAAATAAAGATATAGAGAAAGAGTGGTGTTGTTTATAAAAAAAATTGCTAAGTTAAGCTGATGATTTTGGTGCAATGAAGTAGTGGGAAGATGCCCAACCAAAGCGCTGCGTGTACAAATGAAGTTGGGAGGAAATAAGAGCGAGGGGAGTTTTCGCAAATATCCACAAATTGGACGCTTTATAGCGCTTAGGTTAGTGGGAAATGGCGATCAAAATTGTGGCTTCCAATAAACTTTCCGCATTCACCGAGTATTACGTTCGTCAAACCACAGAAAGAGCAGTATGAACTACTGTGAAAACGATGCTCGAATCCCCTCTTAGACTGCCACTCTGTGGACGGTTAAAAATTCCACGAGGTCCACCACCGACCTCGATAGGCAACTTCAAATGACAAGAAAATCTTTTCGTAATATAAGTCGCCTTTTGAGAGGCAATGGCAGTTCTTCGAGTGCATTTCTGGCATGGAAAATTTATCTCACAAAATCTAATTACACTTTTATGTCAATAAATTCTAAGATTAACAATCACATCGGGTTTCAAGGCGGACCTCAATAATTTTTTTTGTACTTGCCAATGGGCCAACGTCCAGTTATCGTGGCTCTTAGCTTGACTATTTCTTTTCTCGACCTATGTCTTGGCTTAGGGTGTTACTACTATTATGTATTTATGTATTTTTTGCACCGTACTGCCTTATCACATTCCTTTTCAAAACCTTTTCTGTTCAAGAATATCTTTTCCAACTAGGTGGAGTACTAAATTTGTTTTCTATTGCATACTGAAGGTCTCATTGTGGTTCTTACTGTAATTGCCTGTGCCAGTTACTTACGAGGCATCTTGAGTAGTTTTTTCCGGAACAAAAAAGCGTGTTCGCTCTCTATCTTAACATATTGCAGAACTCAAGAAAAACGCTGATCATTTTTTCTCTCAGTTCTTTCAGCCTAAATTAATAGAGTTTTAAGGAGGTAAAAGTTTCCATAAAGCTTTCGAACAGTTAGATCAGTGTTCCGTGTACTATTTACTACTTTCTCTACATTCAATTTGTACAGCTGAGAGCGCTTTTAGGTTACATATGTATTAGGTGAATGATCGTAATTGGAGGCGATGTGGATTAGGTGCAAGTATTGAGTATAAAGAAATACAATTTCACTCCACTTACCCGTTATGAATCATCAGATCAGCATTGGCACGATCACCGTAGTGTATGAATATTTGCTCGCCAGCTTTGAAATCCGACTGAGCGGCGCTCTCCATCTCCTGTGTGCCAACATTGAAGAACGAAGTTACACGTCCTTGACGATGATTTGCCATATCCCAAAAGGGTATGAGCGCAGCAATGTTATCAGGTTGGTCTTGACTAGTATCGCCGCCATTGGCGGTGGCAGCATTAAGTGGACGAGAGCGTGGAATCATATTCTCGCGCGTCATCACGGTGGAGACAGCCCAGCTGAAAGGGATAACAAAAAAAGGAAAGAAATGAAAGTAAGTTAAGGTGATTTATTAGGGTGTCTAGGCAAAGGAGTGTTGCTTAAAAGCGAGCCCTTTTACAGTCCTTTGAGTTTACTAAGTTCCGACAAGCGCTTATCGTATAAATCCCTGCAAACAAACCGCAAAAATATGCGGCTAAGTAGAAAGCAAAGTTGACTGACAACGGTATTTTATTTTACCTTTCTCACGCGAGTTTTTTCATATATATTTTTTTAGCTTGTCTGCTGGCTGACCATTTGAGTGTAAATCCTCAGTAAACACCTTCTTCCATTAACTACAAAAGCTCTGCCGCTTGCCACTTTCACTTAACTGTATCTTCGACTACACTTACTGGCCGCAAGCAGCGCTGCCTACAAAACTGGGTCAGCCGCAAGTATGGCGGCTAAAGCCACAAAGCAACGGAAACAGGAGCGCCGCCAAAGCGACAAAGAGAATGCGAGAGATAAAGTGAATAAATATTTCTTTCAAAGTAAACGTTAAACGTATATAAAAGCCTCATTAAAAGCAGTTCACTTGTCTGTAGACTGGGAGTCTATGCTGCTGGGCGCCTAAAAGTAGGCAACACTGTACATAATTTCCGCGATTAAATTAATTAAATGGCGCATGAATTTTTCAATTAAAATGTAAAGAAAAGCCTCAAACCAAAAAAAAACATCGGGCACAATTCCGGAGAAACTTTAAATGCAAGGCAGGGAAGCACAGCGAGGTCGGTGGTAAACAAATGCGGTGGCGCGCGTACAAGCAGGCTGAAAGTCAACAACGGCGGCACACGGACGCTTCTTTTTAAATTTTTGCGCGCATGACATGCCTGGACTGAACGCGATACGCACAAAAGAAAGTTTCACTCATCTACTACTTCATCATCTGCGTCTTTGTCTAGTTCTTTTCTTTTGGGTTTCTTCTCGCATGGCTTGCCTCAACTCAGCCACATTGATTTATGGCATTGAAAATGCCGGCAGACTGTTTGCTCGGCTCTACTTGCGGGCGCAAACGGCACGCGCTTCGGCACTTCTCCGCTTAATTCTGTTTACTTTGAGCACACAATGCATACCTTAAGGCACGGCTTGGCGCGTGTGTAAGCGTTTTATTGTTGCACAAAATGGCTGTTCCTGCCTTATCTTTCCTGATTTTTGCTTTTAACTGCCCCCAACCACATTTTGCTTTCTTTCTTTTCTCTTTGCTTTTGTTTTCCCGCACTTTTTCTTTTTAAACTTGAGAAAGAAAATTTTCACTCACTTCTTACTGCCTGATTTATGATGCGAAAGTGTAGTTTTACTTCCGCACACAGACACACTCACATTCGGAACACTTATACATACGAACATACATAAAAAAATATGTAACAGTATTTTATTGCCGAGCGGCGTAAGAAAACACTTTTGAAAGGCATACTTTTAGGTAGTAAACGTGCAGCATAAAACTGTCAGGCGAGTTTTTTTGCCACTTTTTTTTGTTTTATTTTCTGTGATAGCAAATTCTCTTTTTTTTACATTAGCACCGCGATGATTTGTGGAAACGCTGAAAGGCGCGTGGCAGCGGAATTGAAAACAATTTGAATTTATATGTGACAGCAAATTTGTGAAGCATACTTTTTGGCATTGTGATAGCATATATGCCATGTGACGGTAAATGCACTGATTATAATTTACGGCATTGAGTTGGAAAATTTGGTATTGCGGAAATATGCCAATTTTTCGTGAAGGACATCATGAATATTTTATTTTTAAGTGGATTTCGAATATGAGAAATGTGAAAGACATTGGATTGCAACAGCATGAAATATTAGCCAAGAAAATGTACGGTCAAGTCCATATATTGAATTCCATGCTAGAATATCCTTATAATCCTGCCTATGGAATAGCATGATCAAGTGAGAAAATGCCACTTCTCTGACGGTTGAACAAAAATGTTGAGCATCTTCGTAACCGCGATAGGATTTTATTGGCAAACAGCTTCTTAATGGCATGTCTGCGCAAATGACACTTCGACGTTTCAGAGAAATTTCTTCCTCTTTATTCCCTCTCCTCTCTCCCCCTCTGTGTCTCTTCTCTCTCTCTCTCTCTCTCTCTCTCTCTCTCTCTCTGTCTCTTTCGCTCTTTTTGTCTATTTCGCTCTTTTTGTCTATTTCGCTCTTTCTGTCTATTTCCCTCTTTCTGTCTATTTCCCTCTTTCTGTCTATTTCCCTCTTTCTGTCTATTTCGCTCTTTCTGTCTCTTTCGCTCTTTCTGTTATTTATTTTTAAATAAATGTTTGGTATGTACTTTTATAGCTTATTATAAATTGAAAGCTGCTAAGAAATCGCGTTGATTTTTTATAATTTTTTTTCGGACGGTCTTATGCACTTTTTTTCATATAAAAAATTACTTTATATGGAAGAAAATGCGTGATACCGCCAGCAAAAAAATTATCAAAAGTCAACGCGACTCACAACGTCAAACTTCCTCTTGATTGTACTAGAATTTAAAATGCTACAAAACTGCATACCAAAAATACTTTAGAAATTAAAATTAAAATGCTTGGAGTTGGGATGAAAAGTTTGCGAAATTTGTATAATTTTGGTACAAAGTCTGAAACTTGCATTTATAGGGTACTTGTCAAAACCGTTCAAAATGTTGAGGTGCTATCGTTTTGTCGCGGGCTGTATAAAGAAGAGACTAACAGCCGGTTCCACCAGCAATTTAAATGGAAAATGATTTTTTATTTGCTGTCAATTTCCATAAATAAAATAATTTTTCACTTAAATTGTTTTCGTGAAATTGGCAATTGTCTTTCGACCTAACTACAAATACATATGTACTTAAAAAAATAATAATTTTATACTTAAATCAAGCCCAAATCAATAATTTTTGAAAATTAATACACGATTACTGATGTTTTTAGAACGTTTGCGACTGAAGTCATTTTAAAACTTTAAGAACGAAAAGTAAATAATTTAATCCAATTCGGATTAGTTTTTAGAACACAATTTTCTCTGAGTGTAAGTCTGCACAAATTTCTATTTATTTACAGAAAACCTATTATTTTCTAATAGATAATGGCCATAAAATTTACTATTGCAAAAATTATTTAATTAGGACTTTTTGCATAAATTTGCATTTGCATTTATGACAGTCAATTGTTTGTTGAATGCTAATTCATAAAATGTAGTTCAAATTCAAAATGGGCAAAATACTTGCTGCTACAGGCGATTTATGCCCTTAATTGAATATAAATGAACACATAAAGGACAACAACAACAACAACAACAACAGCAACGATAGAGCAATTATGAAAGCTTATAATTCAAAAGCGATACGAATTATGGAAAATGAATAACAAGAACCTAATTAAATATAGGTAAAATAGGGCAGAGGGGGAGGCGTTAATATGAGGAAGAGGTATGGAATGGCGGAGCGATGGCGAATATGTGCAAATTTAGTTAGTTAAACTATAAAGCGAAAGGAGGAAAAGTAAAAAAGTCATTTTAAGTAGGCCAAAAAATGTGTACATATGTATATGAGACTGGGAGTGTGTGCGCGCATATGAATAGCAATTAGATTCACTGAAAAACCGACAAACATAAATCATCCATAAATCCGTAATCAAGAGTCAACAAATGCAAAATTAATTATCACAAATACAAATACACAATTGCAAGTTAATCTCCATACAAACATATGTATGTATGTATACTTTTGTGAAATACAAATAGCACTCAGCGGCGATTGGCACAGCGCTTGAACCCACTCATACTCGTTCATACACACACACACACACACACACACACACACACACACACACACACAAAGTACACATACTTGAAATGCATTTATGAATATGAAATATTGAATATGAAAATGTTTATGAATATATGTAAATACGTTTGCTGGATTTGTGTTGCTAAAATTGTTTAGAGCTGAGCTTGTAGTGGTGCATATAAAATGTAGTTACGTATGTAAATGAATGCGCTGTGAAGAGGGCAAGCGACTTTGTGTAGCTTTTTATGGCACTTTAAGCTTGAATAGGAACCTGTATATATACATATGAAGCTTTGTGTGTGTGCGCATTCAAGTCGAGTGTAAATTACATAGAAATAAGTAAATAAATGAATCATGAAAACTTTTGCGAGCAACAACACAAGCAAATGCACGGCAAGTGTTGCAGCAAGCGGAAATCATGGCAGCACGTACGCGCCCATATACACATTCACATTGATACATGCATAGAAAGTGAAATGCACTGAAATATGATTTGTATAAATATGAATATATCTATGCAAATTGTGAATCAACTTGATACAACTAATGCCTGCACTTGCGCACTCACACACCTACAACGGCAGCAAAAGTTGCTACAAAGCTTATAATTTAATTAATCAGTGCGTGTTCGCGGAAGTGCTTGAGTTGAAAGTGTAAAAGCGGAAAAAGGAAGGTGAAATTTGGAAATTGAGTGAAAGAAATTTAAAAACTTAAATTAGAATGAAAAAAAAATGAATTGCATGAATTAATATTAAAAAAATTTACAAAATTTAGAATTTCAATATTTAGAATTTCTAAATTTACAATTTTAAATTTCAAAATTTAGAATTTTAAATTTAAAAATTAAGGTTTTAAAGTTTCAAAATTTTGAATTTCAAAATTCAAAAAAAAAAATGTTATAAAAATTTAATTGTTAAGTTTTTAAAATTTATTTATTTTTTCAATTATAAAATCTTTATTATGATTTATAAATTTGGATATATGTAGCCGAGTAGTTAGAGGTGGGTGCTACCACTCCTTATATAATAGTGCTATACACCAAATTGAGCAAGTGGGCTGGCACTCTGGCAAAAGAGCTCAAGCAACGACTATTCAAACGACTATTTTGGAAAAAAATAGTTAAAATTAAGAAATGGTTAAATAAACCATTTGGTATTATTATTGGCTGAAGGCAAACAAAAATATTGATTCTCATGAATTCTGTATGATTTCTAAGAAAAGT